GGATCGAGGTTCAAAGCCAGCCAGGGCAGGAAAGTCTGCGAGACTCTCATCTCCAATTAACCACCAGAAAACCGGAAGTGGTGCTGTGGATCAAGTAGTAGAGTGCTTGCCTTGAGCTGAAGAGCTGAGGGACAGCGCCCAGTACCAGAGTTCAAGCCCAACGACCGACAAAAAAAAAAGTAGAGAGTGCCTCCCATTCTAGAAGTCATCACTGAGTGAAGCTGCCATAAATTAGCCTATTTTATTAGATATTTCTAGTAAAATGTAACATTGCTGGGTACCAGTGGCTCATGCTTGTAATCCTAGATCAACAGTTGTCCAAATTTGGGAAAGTCTTCCATTAGCAGGCACGTGGCCTTGTATTGTTTCATTTCTGTGAGCATACATGATTAGGAAACACCTGAACACCATAAATTAGTTTGGAGAATGATGTTCTACAAACAACTTGGAATTTTCCACAGTTGGCTTCACTTGTGGAAATGTAAACAGGAGATGTTTACATAAATGATTTCCCAGTCACAATCTACCACAAAACAACTGTGTACATAGAACAGTCTCAACAGCTTCTAAGAGGGAGAAAATGCATGATTTTTATCATCCCCATTAGAGTCCAGAGCACCTCCCTTAGGAGGAGGTCAAGAGGTGGTGGGTTGGGCTACAAGCTCAACCCTATTGGGAAAGCAAATGGGTATGGTAGGAGCTGGGCAGAGAGATTACTGACAGATTAAGATGCAACTAGTTTCACCTTTTCTGCAGTTCCCTAAATCAAGCAAGGAGATACAGCTATGGCAATTAAACAACAGTCATCCCTTGGTATCTCTGGGGGATCGAGTCCAGGAATGCCTATGAATACTAAAGTGCAAGAATGCTTGCATTCTCAAGTCTCTTACATAAAACATTGTAGCCGTACATATAACTTAGGTATACTTCCAGGTTTTGGGTGGTTAATTGGAGATAAGTGTCTCAAAATGACTTTTCTGCCTTGGCCAGCTTTGAACCCCCATCCTTAGATCTCAGCCTCCTGAGTAATTAGGATTACAAGTGTGAGGCACCTGTCAGCAATACTATTCTTTTTTTTTTTTTTTGCCAGTCATGGGGCATGAACTCAGGGCCTGGGCACTGTCCCTGAGCTGCTTTAGCCCAAGGATAGTATTCTACCACTCTATACTTCTATACTCTACCACTCTATACTTCTGTTTATGTGATACTGCGGAATCAAACCTAGGACTTCATGCATGAGAGGCAAGCACTCTACCACTAAGCCACATTCCAGCCCAAATACTATTTTTTAGACATGTCCAAATTTCAAATTTCATTTGCTACTTGGAAAGTTTTCATTCAGTATTCTTTGTGTGTGTGTATTTGTATGTTCTTGCTCAGCTTTTTGGCTCAAGACTTATGCTCTACCGCCAGAGCCATACTTCCACTTCCAGTTTTTTGCTGGTTAATTGGAGATACATTTCTCAGATTTGTCTTCCCAGCCTTGTTGGTCACAGGGCTTGAACTCAGGGCCTGGGTACTGTCCCTGAGCTTCATTTTGCTCAAGGCTAGCACTCTACCATTTTGAGCCACAGCTTCATTTCCAGTTTTCAGGTAGTTAATTGGAAATATGAGTCTCTAGGACTTTCCTGCCTGGGCTGGCTTCAAACAGTGATCCTAAGATCTCAGCCTCCTGAGTATCTAGGGTTACAGGGGTGAGCCACTGTACTCAGCATATGGAACCCTCCCTCCTATCCCCAACCTGGGCGCTGTCCCTGAGCTTCTTTTTGCTCAAGGATAGAGCTCTACCACATGAGGCACAGCTCCACTTCAAGCTTATTTTTGGAAGAAAGGAGGACTTTATTGGAGATAAGAGTCTCACAGACTTTCCTGCCCAGACTGGCTTGGAACCTTGATCATCAGATCTTGTCTTAACTCCTTGATTAGCTAGGATTACAAGTGTGAGCCACCAGTGCCCAGCTATGCAACATTTTTTTTAATTTTTTCCATGTGTGTCCAAGGCATGAACCAGGCAAAGGCACAGATCAAAAGCCATGCTGGGATCAACATGGGATTTTTTTGCCCCTGGCTGATATAAGATGAGCACTATGCAACATTCTTAAGCAAAATTACAACTCTGATTATTAGTCTACATGTTCCTCATTTAGTGGAAATAAATCACAAATGCCAACTATTCTTACCTGTCATAGCTAAGGTGTAATTTGGGAAACTGTAACCGGATAGTATCTAACAAATATTTTGTTGATGAATATGTGACTCGAACCAGTATTGTTGATAAACTTTATAGTTATTTATGGAGCCATGGCTCAAAAAAAGTCAAACAGTGGTTTAATTGATTGGTCATGAACCCATTGTACTGCTCTATAACCTGGGCTCTAGAGCAAAGGTATAGGAATGTGAGTCACGGACCCTTCTGCAATCCTGAAGAGAAAAATCAGATTTACATTGCTGTTTATTTGTCAAGAAAGATTTCACAGTGAGATTCTACTGAGAAGCGTTAAGTGCTTCTCTAGTTTTTACCTTCCTAGATAGAGCAAAGGTGCACACTGGTCCCTTCTCTCTCTCTCTTTTTTTTTTTGCCAGTCATGGGGCTTGAACTCTGGGCTTGTTTGGTGCTGTTCCTGAGTTCTTCAGCTCAAGGCTAGTGCTCTACCACTTGAGCCACAGCACCACGTGCGGCTTTTCTGTTTATGTGGCACTGAGGAATTGAACCCAGGGCCTCATGCACACGAGGCAAGCACTCTCTCACTGAGCCACCTTCCCAGCCCTCCTTTTCATATCCTGAAGGTCTTATTCCCATAGTGTATTGGCTCAGCTAGTATTGACATGCTCTCACACTGAGTGACTGGCATGATGATAGCCCAAATTTTGACTTTGAGGAGTGTGTTTTCACCAAAGAATTGGTAAGGACTCACAAGTTTGGAGGCCAAGATAAGCATCTTTTCTTTAAGCTATTCTGTGCAGGTCTCAGAGTATATTTAATCATCTGGGAGAGCAGGCAAGGTCAAGGACAGAATGCTGCGGCTATGTGTACAGCTTATAGAAGAAGTGAGGCTTACAGCAAAGCCAGCAGTGCCTGTGTGCTTCTAATCAAGCCGTTCACTGTTCAGTAACACAATGCGCATCTCTGAATCCCTGGCTCCCTTTGCCTTGCCTCATAGCCCGCTTCCCCCACCCACCCGGTGTATCCTGCTGCACTCTTGAAATGGAAAGTGTTCACCAGTCTGAGAACATTCTCGCGTGTAGCACACTCGGGCCTCTTGTGGCTGCTTCACACTGAAGTGCATCTTTGCAATGTGATCAGTTTTCAACACTGAAATTTCAGAGCTATTTTTATATGTGGAAACACTCAGAACCGGGTACATGCTGTTTCCTGTTGGGAGCTCTTCTGCTAGTGGTTTTCAAGGGGAAAAGTGATCGGTGAGCAGTTTGAGCAATGTAAGCATTTAAAACCTGACATTACTGAACAGAAAACGTTCATAACACATTCATTACCATTTTGCAAATAGTCTAATGGACTGGTAAACTGTACCTGAAGTTTTTTTTTTTCCATAGAACCCTGCTTTTGTTAATTTATCACAAGAGTACTTGTTATTGTACAGAGATTAATAATGTTTTTTTGTTTGCTTTTGTATGTTCCTGGGGATTAAACTCTTCTTGGCCTGGGCGCTGTCTCTAAGCTCTTTTGCTCAAGGCTAGTGCTCTGCCACTTGAACCACAGTGCCACTTCTTGATTTCAGTTTTTAATTTTCAACAGTTACTCAGTTCTTCACTAAGAATGAAGGTTTAAGTTATTCTTATATCACAAACTTTTTTTTTTTTTTGGTGCTGATCCTGGGGTGGGACCTGCCCTTGAGCTTTTTTGTTTTTTTGTTTTTTGTTTTTTGTTTTTCACTCATTCATTCATTCATGGGACTGGAACTCAGGGCCTGGGTGCTGTCGCTGAGATCTTTCATGCAAGGCTAGAGTTCTACCACTTTAAGCTGTGTACAGTTCTACTTCTGGTTTTCTGGTGGTTAACTGGAGATAAGAGTCTCACTAAGCAGCCACTAGTGGCTTATGCCTGTAATCCTAGCTACTTAGGAGGCTGAGATCTTAGGATCGCTGTTCAAAACCAGACAGGGCAGGAATGCCCCTTGAGACTCTTATCTCCAATTAACCTCCAGAAAACCAGAAGTGTTGCTGTGGCTCAAGTGGTAGAGTACTCACCTTGAGTTGAATTGCTCAGGGACAGTGCCCATGCCCATAGTTCAAGCCCCAGGACTGACCAAAAAAAAAAAAAAAGTCTCAGGGGCTTTCCTGACCACACTAGTGTGAATCAGAATCCTCAGGTCTCAGCCTCCTGAATAGCTAGGAACAGAAGGTGAGAGCCAGCTTCCTAAGATTTTTAAATCAAGGCTAGCATTCTGGCACTTGAGCCACTGGTCCACTCCAGGGTTTTTGGTAGTTAATTGGAGATAAGAGTGCTCAGACTAGCTTCAAACCATAAAACTCAGATCTCAGCCTTCTGAGTAGATAGAATTATAGGCATGAGTCACCTACGCCCCACTAACATTTTCTTTTGTATATGTGTACTGGTACAAGGGCTTGAACTCAGCCTTATGCTCTCCCTATGCTTTTCTGCTCAAGGTTGGTGCTTTACCACTTGAGCCACACATCCAACTTTCAGCTTTTGCTGGTTGATTGGAAATAAGTCTCTCAGGTTTTTCTGCTTGGGCTGGCTTGTACCTCAGTCCTCAGATACCAGCCTCCTGAGTAGCTAAGATTGCAGGCGTGAGCCACCGGCGCCTGGATTCAAATGCAGTCTCATGATAAAGAATAAGATTTAGTTTTTTAGAATCCATATGAAAATACATTGAGACAAACTCAGGCTGTACTTTCAGAGATAAAAGTGGCTAGTTACCCAGAAGAAAAAAGAACACAAAACTTACCAATTACGTGTCCCAAGGTGTGAACTGAATATCTTTGTTAGTAAGCTAGACATTTCTTCTCTTTCCCAGTGATACAGGAACAACACCGCCAGAGAGTGGAATTTTTGGATTTATGATAAACTTCTCTGCCTTTCTTGGTAAGTGTGCAATTATCATTAACAAATGAAGTTATTATTAACAATAACTATTAACAGTCCAAAGGGAAGTACAATATCTTATTTATAGCTTGTGTATTTGTAAAAGCACAACTTTCACAGCTACTACTTTGAGGAGTAATGTCAAATTACTACTAAGTAATAGGACTACATTGAGAAACAAAAGTCTGTAGAAATCCAAAATACTGTATAGCCTCACTGTAGATCTATCCATTTCATGTGGAAATTACACACAGGATTTGCTGAAAGGTGGTTTTAAACCCCCAACCCTTTCAGTGGAATTTAAATATAATTGGGCTTTTAAAACTGTGATTTATAGCTAAGGTGCTCTGTAAGTTAATGCAGAAGGCACTATTTCTTTCTTTCTTTTTTTTTTTTTTTGGTCGGTCATGGGGCCTGAACTCTAGGCTTGGGCGCTGTCCCTCAGCTCTTTAGCTCAAGGCTAGCCCTCTACCACTTGAGCCACAGCGCCACTTCTGGATTATTTCTGCTTATATGGTGCTGAGGAATTGAACCCAGGGCCTCATGCATGCAAGGCAAGCACTCTACCACTGAGCCACCTTCCCAGCCCCAGAAGGCACTATTTCTCTAAGTCTGTTCTGAAGGCAGCTTACATGAAAATCACCTGTGCTGCTGATTAGAATGTCCTGTCCGCTAGGTGCTGGTAGCTCACACCTGTAATCCTAACTACTCAGGAAGCTGAGATCTCAGGACTGAGCTTTGAAGTTAGCCTGAGCCAGGAAAGTCTGAGTCTCTTATCTGCAATTAACCACCAGAGTGCTTGAAGTGGAGCTGTGGCTCAAATGGGAGGGCACCAGCCTTGAGCAAAACCAAATCTCAGTGACAGTGTCCAGACCCTGAGTTCAAGCCCTACTATAGGTGCACAGGCGCGCACACACAGGCACGCACACACACACACACACACACACACACACACGCACACAGCCAGAAGTAGAGGCATAGGCTCAAGGGAGTGCCAGCTGTGAATGAAAAAGCCAAGCCCAAGCCTGAGGCCTTGAATTGAAATCCTAGTAAGGCACAGAGCAAAGAACACCAAACTAAACACTCTAGGGGACTAGGATGCTCCCAAAAGTTTGTCCTGACCTGTGAGAGAAGAGAAAGGTGATAGCAGGAACCGTTTTCCTTCAGCTCAGCTACAGTTTCTCTTTGCCATTCCTCAAAGCAGCTGAGACTCAGATGATCCTTCACGGTCTTGTTTCGAGCCAATGAAGGTGAGGCTGTTCTTCTCATCCCAGCTGCCTGGCAATTAACAACGCAGCACCCTTCTTAGGCCTGCTAGGAAGTGCGGAGTTACATCCCCAGCCACAAATAGAAAATTAAGAAAACTAATCATTCAAAACTGCTCCTGTGTTTTCCATTTTTAAAAAAATCAGCTAGCAACATTTCATCAGAGTGCCTTTTTATTTTCTTCTTCAGGTGCAGCCACGATGTACACAAGATATAAAATAGTAGAGAAACAAAATCAAACCAGCTATTTCAGCACTCCTGTTTTTAACTTGGTGTCCTTAGTTCTTGGATTGGTGGGATGTATCGGAATGGGCATTGTAGCCAATTTTCAGGTATGGCCTGAGGCTTTTGGGGGGCATTTTGGGGGGGGGTGATGGATAACGTGTGTGAGAAAGAAACACTGGGAAATGGTTGATAGGTTTCCAAACATTGGATTGTTTGATATTTAGAACATGAACATTTGCACATCAGTCTTGCCTGATTCTTACCTATTGCTTGGTGAAGAGAGGTCCACATTGCTCCTGGTCTATTGTGATGAAGGGTGGTGGGTCTGTGGCAGCTTTTGCCAAGTGTGCGCTTGCTCACTCTTGCCACTGGTAGAAACCACTTGATGTTCAAAGAACAGCACCAGATCTACTCCTTGTGCAGGTGAGGCCGTGGACTCAGAGGTTAGAGTCATTCACTCAGTCAGCTAATTTCTTGCAGATCTGAGGATCATGGTTCAAAGCCAGCCCAGGCAAAAAACTCTGAAACTGGTATCCTCCAATGAAACACCTAAAAGTCTTTCATGGAGCTATGTGGCTCAAGTGGTAGAGTGCCAGTCTTGAGCACAGAATCTAAGGGATAGTACCCAGGCCCTGAGTTCAAGCCCTAGTGCTGGTACAAACAAAAAAAAAAACAACCCAAAGGGTTAGGTAATGAAAAATTGCAAACTTTCATTCAGTGAATAAATGTTTATGTTTATAAAAAAATTCTGTGGGAGCAGAGTGTTTTCCCTGTCAATGTTCTTATAAATAATCTTCACAACGTCCTTGTTTGATATCCTGTGATTCATGTTCTTTGTGCCAAGATCAAACCGATGTGAGGCGTTTAATCTGAAGAAGAATTTCATCTAGGAGGCCAAGAAAGAGAGTGACAGGCTCCACTTAAGGCCTAGCCAATCACACTAGGGAGACATTCACAGATGGGTGGGCGGGGTGGAAACTCCTTGGTTCGTCCATTTCCAGCCATGCTTTATTTCCCTCAAGAAGTGTCCTTGAGCCGGGCGCAGTGGCTGACACCTGTAATTCTAGCTACCCAAGAGGCTGAGATCTGAGGATCCTGGTTGGAAGCCAGCTCGGGCAGGAAAGTCTATGAGACTTTTTTTTTTGCCAGTCCTGGAGCTTGAACTCAGGGCCTGGGCACTGTCCCTGAGCTTCTTTTGCTCAAGGCTAAGACTCTCCCACTTGAGCCACAACACCACTTCTGGCTTTTTTTTTTTTGAGGAATTAAACCTAGAGCTTCATGCATGCTAGGTGAGCCCCCTACCACTAAGCCACATTCCCAGCCCATATGTGAGACTCTTATCTCCAATAACCATTCAGCATGCTACTAGTAGCATCCAGAAGACTAGGTGGGTGGGAGGGTCAAGAGTTTGAAGCCATCCTAGGCTATCTAGTGAGAAAATTAATAAATAAATTAGATGAAATGGTAAAGAATTAATAATCCAATTAAAAATTAATAAATTGGGCTGGGAAGGTGGCTCAGTGGTAGAGTGCTTGCCTCGTAAGCATGAGGCCCTGGTTTCAATTCCTCAGCAACACATAAGCGGAAAAAGCCAGTAGTGGCGCTGTGGCTCAAGTGGTAGAGTGCTAGCCTTGAGCTGAAGAACTCAAGGACAGCACCCAGGCCCAGAGTTCAAGCCCATGACCGACAAACAAACAAACATGAATAAATTCAATTCAATTATCTTTTTGGAGACACATATTTCTAATGTTTAATCTTCTCAGTGTTCTGGTGTGCTCTGTGCTTTATTGTCTCTGAAATTAGAAAAGAATGCAAACAGGAAGTCAAGTTTTCATCTCATCGTGTACCCAAAATCATGCCAGTTTTTCTTTCTGTGCCTCATTTAATGTCGTGACCTATGTTGTGTCTCCACTGACAGTTTGGCGTGAAGGCAATGTCTTTTTTGTAAGTGTGTGCCAGTGCTGGACTTGATTGTAGCTCATGCCCTCTCAAGGCTGGTACTCACCACTAGAGCTGCAGCTCTACTTCCGGCCTTTTGCTAGTTAATTGGAGAGAAAAGTTTCTTGGATTTGTCTGCCTGAGCTGGTTTCTAGCCAAAATTCTCAGTGCCAAGTCAGACCCTAAACACTGATGAACCGGCCAAGACTAAGGGAGAACATTTCCTGGTAAATCAGTAAGAGGAAACAAAGTATGCACATTCAAGAGTTTTTAAAAAAAAATTTACTTAGTATAAGAACAATAGTGTGGAAAGTCCCAGAATTCTTAGTCTATTCTGGAAAGTGACTCATTAGTAGTAGATGGCTTTGCTTTTTATTTCCCTTTGTCCAAAGTATACCTAACATACAAGGGGTAGCGGGAAAAATTTAGGTTTGTTTTTGGGAACAATTTAGGTTTGTTTTTGAATTTTTTTTCTTGTGGTAAAATATACATGACACAATGTATCATCTTAACCATTTTCTGAACTTTTTTTTTTTTTTTTTTGGTCATGGGGCTTTAACTCAGGGCCTGGGCGCTGTGCCTAAATTCTTTTGCTCAAGGCTAGCACTCTACCACTTAGAGCCACAGTACCACTTCTGGTTTTCTAGTGGTTAATTGGAGATAAGGGTCTCATGGACTTCCCTGCCCAGGCTTGCTAAGAACTGCAATCCTCAGCTCTCAGCCTCCTAAGTAGCTGGCATTACAGGCGTGAGCCACCAACACTTAGCTTTTCTGAAATCTTTGAAGCCCATAAGGGTGTGTATGTGTGTGTGTGTGTATGTGTGTGTGTGTGTATGTGTGTGTGTGTGTATATGTGTATGTGTGTGTGTGTATGTGTGTGTGTGTATGCATTTTTTCCATATAACTTCCTTGATTTTATATGCCCATGCCAGTTAGCTTAGGTGTACAAAATCTATACTTACCAAATGGAAAATAGCATTTATTATAGAATGTTAATGTAGTCTCTTCTCCCCTCCCCCCCCCCCCCCCCCCTGCATCCTGGGGACTGAACTCAGCTCCTTGTATTTGCCAGGCCATACCACTGAGCTGCATCTCTAGTCCTTTATAATACAACACTTTTGTTTCTTTGTTGTGTGTGTATGCTGGGTTTCAACTCAGAGCCTCTGGTCTCTTCCTGAGCTTTTGTTTGTTTAACGCTAGTGCTCTAACACTTGAGCCACACCTCCATTTTTGGCTTTTTTCTAGTTAAGTAGAGATAAGAGTGTCTCAGCTTTGTCTGCCCTGGCTGGCTTCAAATTGTGATCCTCAGATTTCAGCCTCCCCAGTAGTTAGAATTATAGGCATGAGCTACCAGCACCCAACTTTTACAATATTTTTAGATGAAATATATCATCTAATCTTTTTTTTCCCTGCCAGTTCTGGAGCATGAACTCTGGGCCTGGGCTCTGTCCCTGAGCTTTTTTTTTTGGTCAGTCGTGGGGCTTGAACTCTGGGTCTGGGCTCTGTCCCTCAGCTCTTCAGCTCAAGACGAGCGCTCTACCACTTTGAGCCACAGTGCCACTTCCAGTCTTCTGGTGGTTTATTGGAGGTAAGAGTCTCATGGACTTTCCTGCCCAGGCTGGCTTTGAACCACAATCCTCAGATCTCGGCCTCCTGAGTAGCTAGGATTACAGGCGTGAGCCACCAGCACCCAGCTCCCTGAGCTTATTTTGCTCAAGACTAGTAGCACTCTACCACATGAGCCACAGCCCCACATCTGGCTTTTTCTGAATAGTTTGTTGGAGATAAGAGTTTCAAAGTTTATTGCCCAGGCTGGCTTTGAACCGTGATCCTCAGATCTCAGCCTCTTGAGTAGCGAGGGTTACAGGTATGAGCCACTGGCATCCAGGAGTAATCTAATTGAATCTAATCTTCACTGCAAAACTGCAAGATAGTGTCTAGATATGGAGCTCAAAGCTTGGCACCAAAGTCACACTGTCTGGAGGTGGAGTTTGTCAGATATTCCCAGACTCAAATCTACCTTCAAGAGAAACATCCAGATTCAGGGACAGTGCTCAGGCCCTGAGTTCAAGCCTCACAACTGCCAAAAAAAAAAAAAAAAAAAACAACAAAAAAAGAACACCTTTCCTTATCGCAGGTAGCCAGGTTTGCTGGGTCAGATTAGGATTTGTCATTGGGATTTGAAAGAAAAGCTTTTCTCTTGACGCTGTTCTGACAGCAGCTGCATTTCCCAAGAGCAGGTGCACGTGGGTTCACACTTGTGGCTGGAAACATCTCAGAATGAGTGAGGGCTTGTGGTGTGATGTCGTTCTCTGTCTGTCTGTCTGTCTGTCTGTCTGTCATCTGTCTGTCTGTCTGTCTGTCATCTGTCTGTCTGCCTGTCTGCCTGTCTGTCTGACGCTCTCCTGTGGTCTTCTCCCCAGGAGCTAGCTGTGCCAGTGGTCCACGATGGGGGCGCTCTACTGGCTTTTGTGTGCGGTGTGGTGTACACCCTGCTGCAGTCCATCATCTCCTACAAAGCGTGTCCCCAGTGGAACAGCCTCCTCACGTGCCACACACGGATGGCTATCTCTGCCGTTTCCTGCGCAGCCGTCGTCCCCAGTATCCTTTCCACAGTGTTCCTCAGGAAAGAGGATAAAGGAATCCAGCGATAGGTGTTAAGGCGGGTAGCGGTGGTGAGGAAGACTTGATTCAGGACCATTGCAGTGGCTATAGAGGGACCACAGAAAGGAGATTCCAGTGGGAGAATGGACTGAGCTCGCAAGCGGAGGGTGGCAGTCAGTAGATCCAAAAATACTAAGAAGATGAGGCACTGGTGGCTCAGGCCTATCATCCTGGCTACTCAGGAGGTTGAGATCTGAGGATCATGGTTTGAAGCCAGCCTAGGCAGGAAAGTCGATGAAACTTTTATGTCTAATAAACTACCAGAAAAGCTGGAAGTGGAGCTATGGCTCAAGTGATAGAATACCAGCCTTGAGCAAAGAGCCCAGGCCCAGAGTTCAAGTCCCAGGAGCAGCGCGTGTGCGCGCGCGCGCGCGCACACACACACACACACACACACACACACACACGCGCGCGCACACACACGCGCGCGCACACACACACACACACACTGACTTAATGAACCTAACAGGATTCTTGCTGAAGACAGGCTAGTTGGTCAGATAGGGCAAGTGATGGAGGAGAAGTCATCTGAACAAACAGAGTGGCAGCTTCTGCCTAAGCTGTCTGAGCCAGGGAGTTTGTATATCTAAGGGCGTGGGTGAGTGTTTGGGAGAAAGTGAAGGAATTTGGCTAAAATTTGGCCCAGCAAAAATACATGTCACATGGGCTGGGAAGGTGGCTCAGTGGTAGAGCGCTTGCCTTACATGCCTGAGGCCCTGGGTTTGATTCCTCAGCACCACATAAGCAAAAAGAAAAAAGCCGGAAGTGGCGGTGTAGCTCAAGTAGTAGAGTGCTAGCCTTGAGCTGAGGGACAGCGCCCAGGCCCAGAGTTCAGGCCCCACGACCGGACCCCCCCCCCCCCAAAAAAAATACATGTCACAGTGTCTTTCTCAGCAGGCTAGTTTCCTACCCTCCACCCCCACAAAAAAGAATCATTCAAATGAAGGCAAAGGGTGTTGGCCAAATTTGCATCTCCTTCAGGAAAATGAGCTGGAGAAAAGTGGGAAGCATTAAGAAAATGGCTCAACTTTTTGTGGTTAGATCAAAAGGGTATTTTTGGAAAAGGAATGGGGTGAAAGGTGAAGGTGAAATACTAGAAACCCTTCAGCTTCTGTTTACTTTCTCTCCCACAGTTCAGTCTCACTAGTCATGTGAAAGTATTTTTCTTTCTAGTACTTGGCTAAAGACACCAAATATTGAAATTGTACTTAAAGCACTAGACCTTGTGAAGGCCTGAGTACTGGCCTCTCACCCCTCCCCTATTTGGTATACTCATCCAAATAAATAAATAAATGAATAATTCCACTTCTAGCTTTTGGGTGGTTTAATTGGTGATGAGCCTCTTGAACTTTCCTTCCTGAGATGGCTTTGAACCTAGATCTTCCGATATTAGCCTTCTGAATAGCTAGGATTAACATGCATGAGCTACAGGTGCGTGGCAACTCCCAATAGGATCGTGTGTGTGTGTGTGTGTGTGTGTGTGTGTGTGTGTGTGTGTGTGTGTGTGTGTGTTTTCGTTTTCCTGGTCCTGGGGCTTGAATTCAGGGTCTAGGCACTGTCCCTGAGCCTGTTTGTACTCAAGGCTAGAGCTCTACCACTTGAGCCACCTTACCATTTCTGGTTTTCTGGTGGTTAATTGGAGATGAGTCTCATGGACTTTCCTTCCTGGGCTGGCTCTGAACTGCCATCCTCAGATTTCAGCCTCCTGAGTAGCTAGGATTACAGGCGTGAACCACCAGCACATGGCTCCCAATCTGATTTTAGAAATGATGTTTAGCTCTTCTATATCAAATGAGAAGGTATTTGTGAATATAGTGTTAAGTTCTTCCTTTCTGACCTTTCATTTGTTTTCTTGACCCAGTACCTCTGCTAGAACTTCTGATGAATAGAATTGGTGTGAAACACACACTTTTGCCTCATTCCGTATTTCAAGTGAGAAAGACAAGAGAAAGCCAAGGAACGAGTGGGAGTCTTAGGAAACACTAAGACCGTAGACTTAGTAGCAGCAGTAATGACATTAAATTTCAGTGAACTAGTCTTACGGCATTTTGTGATATGTTAGCTCTAAGTTTTTCATACGTGCCCTTTGACAAACTGAGGAAGGTCCCTTTCTTTTCTTTTCTTTTTCTTTGGCGGGGGCGGGGGGGGGGGCTGGGTGGGTCTGGTCGTGGGGCCTGAACTCTGGGCCTGGGCACTGTCCCTCAGCTCTTCAGCTCAAGGCTAGTGCTCTACCCCTTGAGCCACAGTGCCACTTCCGGCTTTTTTCTTTTTGCTTATGTGGTGCTGAGGAATCGAACCCAGGGCCTCAGGCATGCAAGGCAAGTGCTCTACCACTGAGCCAACTTCCCAGCCCGGTCCCTTTATTTTCAATATGCTTTTTTGGGGGGGGAAAAGTATTTTTATTCAGTAGCAAGTATGCCAAAAAGACCCATCTTTGGGGATTTTCCAGAACCACGCAAGACCAAACAAAATGTAGCTGCGGAGTGAAGTTTTGCGCTGTGCTGACTGCATGTAGCTGCGGAGTGAAGTTTTGCACTGTGCTGACTGCATGTAGCTGCGGAGTGAAGTTTTGCGCTGTGCTGACTGCACGTAGCTGCGGAGTGAAGTTTTGCGCCGTGCTGACTGCATGTAGCTGCAGAGTGAAGTTTTGCGCCGTGCTGACTGCATGTAGCTGCAGAGTGAAGTTTTGCGCTGTGCTGACTGCGTTTCCCTCCCTTGCTTTAGCTGCCGTCATCACCGAAGGGCTGAGATGACCAGAAGCGGGCTACTTCTGCAAAGACAGCTCCCCCTGCAGTCCTGCGGGCTTTTGAACCATTGAACACCACCCCCGTAGTCATAGTAATGGACTTGTCTTAACAATTCAAGAACCTGTTCTCTGCTGTCATTTTCCTTAACAGTATTCTCCTCTTACAAGTGATTGCCTGTGCTTCACTAATTTCTATAACCAAGTTGGAGTGGAATCCAAAAGAAAAGGTAATTGTTACATTGTCCTCAAAAATTGTTCACCCTTGGCCTGGGTAGAGCGCTTGCCCAGCATGCATGCAGCCCTGGGTTTGATTCCTCAGCACCACATACACAGAAAAAGCCAGAAGTCCTTGAGCTGAAGAGCTGAGGGACAGCACCCAGGCTCAGGGTTCAAGCCCCACGACCGACCAAAAAAAGAAAAAGCCAGAAGTGGTGCTCAAGTGGTAGAGCGCTAGCCTTGAGCAAAAGAAGCTTAGGAAATAGTGCCCAGGCCCTGAGTTCAAGCCCAGGACTGGCAAAAAAAAGATGAACACCTTTTTTGAGTGAGTCTGTGTGGCTAGGTGAATCCTAGAAAGGTGAGATCCTTATTCCGTACAGCAAATGTACCAAGTGTGATGGCATTTCAGCAACTCGCGAACCAGTCATTTGGCAATGTAGAGTCATTAGCTTCGAAAGACAAGAGTTGCACGGAATTCAGTTAGGGATTTGATTGACTTTTCTTGGTGATTTCCATGAATCTGGGACCGACTTCCTTCTATAACAGTCGAGCCATTCACTGGCCAATGGCAGCTCTGTGGGCGGTGAGAATACATGAGCGGAGTAGGGTAAAGTTGATTTGCCAGCATCCGTTTACTTCATACTATTTATTACTATTATTATCCTGTTGGGTAAAACAAGAATTGTTTTTATTACACTAATTCCTGCAACTAGAATTTCTTGTCTTCAAAAAAAAAAGCAATTTTGGGATCCAGCCTGCTTCGTGTGTTTGATGAGGTGGCACTCAGGCATAAAGCCCTTCCATTTGGGTTGGTCTGTCCTATCAGGGCTGAGTGCAAGCCCTAAGTCTGAGACATAATTTTCTGTGTAATATTAGTGATTTAAGTAATCCCAAAGGTTCCTGAGATTATTTTCAAGGTTCAGAATTCCCGATTTCTTTCACACCTTAACCGTCCACACTTAGTAGAAGAGGCAGTTGAAGTTGTGGAGTTTTACAGAAGCGAGAGTGTTTTGGAGTATTTGTGGCAAGTGGTCCAGCTAGAGGGGGAATTAACTATAGTCCAGGATAACTCTGAGGGAACCGTGGAGAAGTTCATACTTACTAGAAGGACTAGTGTCAGCCTTTGAAGACGTGTGGACAGGAAAGCAATGGAGGAGGTGTTCTCGGATGAGTATGAGGCAGAAGGAACACCTGGCACGGATTGAAGACAGAGCTCAGCCCTAGGGTAGGAAGATGGCAGGTCTCCTTCAGATTCGAGCACGATTGGAAACGATAGGGGGAAATACTAGGTGGGTGCCAGCAAGCGACTGAGTTGAGAATGAGGGGGGATGAGGGGTGGGTAACAGGTGATTCCATGTCTTTCTCTTGGATGAACCAAAGAATTCCTTCCCATATGCAGAAATAAGGTGTGTAACAGGAATGCTTGGATGAGCTTTGTTTTGGAATCATTGAATCGGAGACATCTCCGATGAGACATGTAGGAACAGTGTCCGGTTAGAAACATGGGCAGATCTCTGGAAGGACTGACAGCCATCAGAGCGCATAGAGGAACCAGCTGTTTCCCAGCCAACCATATGAAAACATGGAACCAATTGTGTGTAGCTGGGAGTTAGTTCATCCAGGTGTCCTACAAGAGAATGACAACAAGATGGTACCCAGAAGAGAAGAGAGATAGCAAGAGAATTGCAGGGAGAAACTTTTCCAGGGATAAGTGGAAGAAAGTCTCTGGCAAAATAAATAAGTCTGGTACTAGCCACTCACGCCTGTAGTACTAGCTACTGAGGAAGCTGAGATCCAAAGGTTGTGGTTTGAATGAAGACAGCTGGGGTGGGGGAGGGGGAGGTCCATAAGACCTCCTTTAACCACCATTAACATCTACCATTAACTACCCCCCAAAAAATCCCAAAGTGGAGCTGTGTCTCAGAATGCCTGATTTGAACAAAAAAGCCAAGTGGAAGGGTAAAGCCCTGAGTATTAGCCCCAGTATGTGTGCCAAAAGTTAGAAAGGAAGAAAGAAGAGGAAAAAAAGGTAGAAAAGAAGAAAGAGATGAAGGAAGGAAGGAAGGAATAGAAAGAGGAAAAGAGAAAAAGAAAGAGGAAAAGCAAGAAGATGAAGGAAGGAAGGAAGAAATAGAAGGAAAGAGAAAGGAAGAGGAAAAGCAAGAAGACCCTGACCCACCAGAGCAGGGATTCCTGAGCAGTGTGGTCACATCAACAAGCAAGTCTGTCACAGGCAAGGCTGGGCTGGGCAAAGCTGGAAGGAAGGATGGCTGGGCTCTCAACGAAGCCTCAAATTCATTGAGACAAACAGCTGTATATCAACTGCCAAATATAGTACTCTGAAGGTCCAGCATCATGTTGTAGACCATTAATTTCTTACTGTGGAATGGGATAGAAGGGGACTCAGAGGGTCAAGGAATTTTCTAAAATGGAAGATTCTGGCACTTGATAGAATCAGAGATTAAATGATGATGATGAAGACAGTGTCCACAGAGGATTTCGAGAAAATGCTTCATTGGACTATAACACTAAAGTGGTCAAACTATCCAATAGGTTAGACCCTAGATAACAGGCACTTTTCTACCTGAAGGTGATTGGATTTGGTTGGTGAGATGCATGAGCCCTCGTGCACAACTGAAGTACTTCACTCTTGAGCCACAAGGTGGCAGCAACCCACCACAAATCAGATACAAAGGAGCTGCTCAGGAGGGCTCCACCAAGTACATCCTCAGGCAGTTACTTTCCATTTTTCTATCTTAAAGTATGAAAAAGCAGCTGGGTGTGGTGGTGCATGCCGGTCCTCTCTACACACAGGAGGCGGAGGCGGGACGATCTAAAGTTCAAGGCCAGTCTCATTCTAACAAGTGTTCAAATACCACATGTTCTATGTGTTCTATTCACTGTAGGACTTACTATGTCACGTTGGATATTACCTTCTGTTTCAAGTGTCAATGATTGCAAGAAAAAAAAAAGACTCAACACAAAACCCTTAAATCAATGACCTGAGTAGAATATTCATTTAGGTAATGCTGGCCCTGCATGTACATGTGTTTTGGACAGTTGGGACTTGTGTTTCAATGCACTTTGATCATCAGTAATGTTATTTTGAAGAAATGACTTTTTTTTTTTGGTTGGTCATGAGGCTTGAACTCTGGGACTGGGCACTGTCCCTCAGCTCTTCAAGGGTAGTGCACTCGCCTCTTGAGCCACAGTGCCACTTCTGGTTTCTGGTGGTTAATTGGAGATGAATCTCACAGGCTTTTTCCTGCCTGGGCTGGCTCTGAACTATGTTCCTCAGATCTCAGCTTCCTGAGTAGCTAGGAATACGCGTGAGCTACCGACGTCTAGCTGACCATCCGTTTTTATGAGCCATCCTTGTTGCCCAGGGATGATCTGGATTGAGTCATGTTCCCTGCTGCCGGAGACCCCAAGAGGAAGGAAGCCTCTCTGTTCCTTGCCTCTCCTGTAGGCTGGCTAGGTTGTCCCTAGAGTGACCTCGGCCAGAGCAATGGATGGAGGTGATTAATGGTGAGGAGAGACAGGAGTGATACCTGTGAACTTCAAGGTTGCTCCTTTAAGTATCTGGAAAAGATAACAAGCCAAAGAAGGGTCGCCTTAGAACTGACCTGCAGGGCTGCACCCTCGTTTACTTAACCCTTCTTACCCCTGCAATGCATAGTACAGTTGAAATGGAACAGGGGGAAAAAAATCAAGCCATTATTTGAAAACGCAGGGGACAAATTGAGTCCACAGACCTAATTTGCCACTTTGAATGTAGGTAGGTGTACATTTGTGACTTGGGCAGAGACATGGTTTAGGTATAGAGCATTCGCCCAGCAAGTGCAAAGATCAGAACCATTAAAAAAAGAGAAAGAAAAATATAAGATCACAGATACCTCCCTGTACACACACACACACACACGCACACACACGCACGCACACGCACACACACGCACGCACACATACACACACGCACACGCACGCACACGCACACACACGCGCACATACGCACACACACACATGCAGGCATGCCCGATTTTGAGGCAGCATTGGACTAGTATTTCCCCATTTTCAAAAATGGAGTAAGCATCATGGAGCCTTGTACCGTAGGAGAGTGCTCGCCAAGCACGCACAAGACCCTGGGTTCCACCCCAGCAAAATATGTAAATCAGTGAAGAATACATTTTGAAAATGAAAGAAAATAGAATCTTCTCTCTAATCTCCCCACCCTCCATCCCCTTCTCTCTCCTCCTCACCTTCTCTCCTTCCCTTCTCCCTTTCCCCCTTCTCCCTCCCTCCTAGAGCTGGAAAATCAAATCTAGGGTGTTACACCATACCAGGCAAGATCTCTTTCACTGAGCTACATCTTTGGTCCTTAGTTTTGGTTATTGATTGATTTTTATTTCTTTTTGGTTGGTCAGAGGTCTTGAACTCTGGGCCTGGGCACTGCCCCTGAGCTCTTCAGCTCAAAGCTAATGCTCTACCACTTGAGCCACAGCGCCACTTCTGGTTTTTTGGTGGTTAATTGGAGATTAAGAGTCTCACAGACTTTTCTTCCTGGGCTGGCTTTGAACCGCGATCCTCAGATCTCAGCCTCCTGAGTAGCTAGGGTTATAGGGGTGAGCCACCGGCACTCGGCAATTGATTTTTAATGAACTTCCTGGCCTTCATAAGCAACCAAGTTTTGAAGCCCTGACTCAAGTCACTCGAGTTCTTGGCTTTGGTTCTCCCTCCTTGCTCCCAAGGAGATACACAGCAGCCACGTGGCTGCCCCACAGCTGTCGGGGGATGTCTCCTACTTGGTCATTTGCATTGCATCCATTTATTTATTTATTTATTTTTGGTCAGTCGGTCGTGGGGCTTGAACTCTGGGCTTGAGTGTTGTCCCTCAGCTCTTCAGCTCAAGGTGAGCGCTCTACCACTTGAGCCACCCCGCCACTTCTGGTTTTCTGAGTGGTTTATTGCAGTTAAACCACTGTTCGGGATGGCTTTGAACTGCGATCCTCAGATCTCAGTCTCCTGAGTAGCTAGGATTACAGGCGTGAGCCACCGGCACCCAGCTCTGTTTATCTTACAATCTTGAGCCAAACTTTGCTGAACTACTATTTCCTATAGTAACAGGGAAACATATACAACCCAGCAGGTTGGTCAGCTAGCTGTGTCTGTGCATGCATGTGTGCGCGCGCACACACACACACACACACACACACACACACAGACACCTTTCTTTGGGGTAAACCCCTGGAGCATCCACTAGATTCTTGGTAAGTGAGCCCTTCAACTCTGGGATTCCTAGTGGTAGGAGACCGGGTTGTGGTTTGTATGCCAAGTTTTTCCTTTAGTTGAATCCACATTTACTTCCCTGTCTCAGCTATTTTGTGGTCCTCATGCTGCCCTTTGAAGTTCTGTAGACAATCCTTAAAAGCAGTGTGTGCAGGAGCTAGAAAGAAATTTGGGGATGATTGCATTGCTAATGCCGTCCGGAACAGAACGCCAGGTAGCTGATGTTTATCTACATAGCTCTGCTTATGATATTTCCTCAACGTTCTGGTGTATGCTCATGAGACAATTGTTTTTCTTCTCTCCTAAATGCCTTACTTATTATTTCAGGTTCTCCATGAGAGTTTTTTTTTTAAAGGCTAAATTGTGTTTTCTTTATTGCCGCTGATAGGATTATGTATATCATGTGGTGAGTGCAATCTGTGAATGGACGGTGGCCTTTGGTTTTATTTTCTACTTCCTAACGTTCATCCAAGATTTCCAGGTAGGTACTGGTTAGTTCAATTGGTATATAAATTGCTAACAATTAGGGTTAATAAACACTCATGGAAAATCTATTGCCTGTGTTAGGGAGCACTTTCTTTTGACTCTTCACGTGTTTGAGGAAATAAATGTAAGCCGGGTGCTGGTGGCATATGCCTATAATCCTAGCTACTCAGGAGGCTGAGATCTGAGGATCGCGGTTCAAAGCCAGCCCAGGAAGAAAAGTCTGTGAGACTCTTAATCTCCAATTAACCACCAAAAAACCAGAAGTGGTGCTGTGACTCAAGTGGTAGAGTGCTTGCCTTAAGCTGAAGAGCTGAGGGATAGTCCCCAGGCCCAGAGTTCAAGCCCCATAACTGACAAAAAAATAAGAAAGGCATTATTCAATGTATTATTCATAGAGGAAAGCAACCCTCATAGTTCACCCAGACAATGAAGCTTCCATGCATCTGTTACCATTTGTTGCTCAAAGTCTGGCATCCTAGTTCTTTTCAAGTGAATTTCAAAAACCAGAAAACACAGCTTTGTAAAAAGTTGGTTGATGAGCCACTGGTGGCTCACGCCTGTAATCCTAGCTCCTCAAGAGGCTGAGATCTGAGGATCAGGGTTCAAAGCCAGCCCAGGCAGGAAAGTCTGTGAGACTCTTAAGCTCCAATTAACCACCAGAAAACCAGAAGTGGCGCTGTGGCTTAAAGTGATAGAGCACTAGCCTTGAGCGGAAAAGCACAGGGACAACACCCAGTCCCTGAGTTCAAGTCCCATGACCAACTAAAAAAAGTTGGCTGATGAAAAATGCCTTTTTACCATTATTACCAAGGCAGAGAGAAGCTGGACTTTAGACAGCTTGGCCACAAGGAAAGTGATATTTCCGAACAAGTGACTTATTAGCTAACAGGATAGAGAAAGCCTAGAAAATTCTTCAGGACCCAATTTAGCTTTAGTGAAAAACTTCAGTGAGAAGTCCCCTCTGGGGTGGGGCAGAGTTGCTGGAAATGTCAGCTGGGCTGAAGTTGTTTCACTTCCTTTCATCTTTCTCTTTCTTCCTCCTCAAGAGTGTCACCCTCAGGATATCCACAGAAATCAATGGTGATATTTGAAGAAAGGAGAATGTATCTAGAAGTTTCTAGAAGTGATCCAGAGGACCACAGGGTTTTGATGTCCTGATCGGCATGCGTCTGTGGCACATCCGGAACTTGAATGTCATTAACAATTCCTAATAGTTGTACTATTTGCAAAGGTATGTTTCCCTAGAAAATGTAGAGCATTTATAACATGGTAGCGATGTTTTTATATTTTTCTAAGATACTTGTTTTTATACTAACAGATTCATAGAAAACCTATGGTGTTGCAGATTCTGTGTTTTATCTTTGGGTGTGAATGATCTGTGCAAATACACTAACTTGAGAATTTAAGTTTAGTATATTTATGGGGGGAAAAAGTGAAATCGGGAATATTGGTTTTAAAATTCCTTTGTTAGATGGACTCTTTTCTTTTCTTTTTAAAATCATGAGAGCATTTGTAACATTAAATATGTCATAATCTTAAGGATGTCGTTGATAAACAAACACTAAGATATTCTGGTTTTTATTTAAAGAAAATCAAACTAAGCCAAGTATGTCTATCACAAGGTGGGAACAACTCTTAAAGGGCTCTGGAGGCTTCAGCCTTAACCTCCTGCCCAGAGGCCTGCAGCCTCTCCCCCTGCTGGACATTGCTGGCCCTAGTAGATGTACCTTTAGGGAGCCTGGCTTGTGCAAGGCAGATTGGAAATTAGAACCCCTTCCCTTTGGTGGTCACTGGCATAATGGGATCTATAGTCTGAGTCTATGTGCTGCCCAAGAGAATACAGGGAGAAAGGAGAGGGGGCAGTTGGAACTTCCAGGTGCCGGTGCTGTGCTGGGCATTTGTTCCTCCTTTGAATGGCCATGGCTGGATGTTCTTCCACACCAGGGGACGTGTGAGTCAGGCTCTTGGTGTCAGGCAGGAGCGATGGCTTTCACTGTTTGACTCAAGTCACCAAATGACAAGTGAACAAGCCCTTTTGTAAGCTCAAGTGGTCCTTGGAATATGGGCAAGGAAGGTACTTTGTCTTTCAAAGAAAGACTCCTGGGCTTCAAACAAACCCAGGTCTAGCCACGTGGGCACCCTGGCAGTGGTGAGCAGGTGATGGCACCTCACTAAAGCATTGTTAAGTGAGGGAAGGTTGAGACTGGAGACTACTGCCCCATCTCTGGATTCCCCTGAAAGAATACAGTGGTTGGGATGTTCATTGTCATTTCTGAGTCCATTGTCACTTGTCACAAAGCTGGAGGGGAGGGAAGCATCCCCATTGGGATATTGGAAGAGGAGAGTGACCTCCTAACTACTTGGTAAAGGAAGAGGACTTTGCTTATCTTCCCCATGGACCCTCTGGTAGAAGGGATCTCAGAGTGTGTGTGATCAGCCAGTAAGACTGTACTGCTGATGTTCACAGCTCTGGTGATGAGACTGGGAACTCACTGGGGGCTGAGCATATCCGTTAGCTTAGTGACTGCAGCACTCAGTACAGCGCTTCCTGGAACACCACAGATGCTTCCTGAGTGCATGTGTGCAGTGTTCACACGAAGGACTGACTAGGGATGTCTGGATGCTGTATACTGGGGGGTTGCCTTGCTCTTGTTTACTAGTTGTTTGAATGTAAACAAATTGTCTGTGCCACCTAGTAATGTTGACCGTTTTGCTTTGTGTACTGTAAACAGTTCAATTGTGTGGGCTTCATGATTCTATGACAAGTCTCTTCTGGACAGTTACCACAGAAATTGTTAACGTGGGCTAAACCAAATGGTTATACCAGTCTTGGGCAAACTGAGAAAGCCAAAACCTGACTCCAGACAATCATATCCTGCTGATTTTGTGCACCTTCTAAAGTTGGTCTTATCCACATTTTTGGTATTATTTTTCATTTCTGTGAACTTGCATTTCCTTGGACCCCGTGACTGAAAGAGTAAAATAAAGTGAAATATTTCTTTATGTTAGTAATTTGTGTCTCTTTTATATCGCCTGGGTACTACTATGAAGTGTTGACGATTCTGCACCCTTGTGCACTTTATAAAGGGATGGGTTACACCTATGGGGTTTTGTTTATTTTTAATACTAGGGATGGAACCCAGAGTCTCCTGCGTGCAAGGCAAGCACTCTACCACTTGAGCCACACCTCAGTCCTTTGGCTTTAGTTTACTTTTCAGATTAGGCCTCCTGCTTTTACCTGGGCTCATGGTACATTAATTATGTCCTGAGTAGTGAGGATTGTGCCCGCTGGCTGATCTTTGTAGGGATTCTCAATCTGTCTCAGAATTGTATGTCAGTCAAGACCCTTAGAAGTCCAACTTTGTGGAAGTGGCGCTGTAGCTCAAGTGGTAGAGCGCTCGCCTTGAGCTGAAGAGCTGAGGGACAGCGCCCAGGCCCAGAGTTCAAGCCCCACGACTGACAAAAAAAAAAAAAAAAGAAGTCCAACTTTGTGGATGGAAAGAAAGGGTAGGTATTTGACTGCATGACCCAGGAGGGAGCTGGCATTAGGATCAAACATATCACCAACTAAATATATCCTTCATTTCCTCTCCCCTCCTCTCAGCTCTGCTTTCTTCCCTGTTGGCATCATTTTCAGGCAGGCTTTCTCCTGTGGGAGTAAGATGGCTTCTAGAGACCAAAAGACAATTATCAAATGTTCTAGCCAAAGCCTAGAACTGAACTTACTGTCCCATCTGATTGGTTGATTTGAGTTCATGGAGTGGTTACAAGGGAGTGATTCTCTGATTGGTCAGCCCTGAGTCACATGTCTACCCTTGGAGAAGGGAGGGGGTTAACACCATATAAAACACTAGGCCAACAGTGACTGAAAATTGTTTTCTCAAGAATTTGTAGGGCCGGGCAGCGGTGGCTCACGCTTGCAATCCTAGCTACTCAGGAAGCTGAGATCTGAGGATCGAGGTTCAAAGCCAGCCTGGGCAGCAAAGTCCGTGAGACTCTTACCTCCAATAAACCACCAGAAAACCAGAAGTGGCGCTGTGGCTCAAGTGGTAGAGTGCCAGCCTTGAGCTGAAGAGCTGAGGGACCGCACCCAGGCCCAGAGTTCAAACCCCATGATCAACAACAACAACAACAAAGGCTGGGAAGGTGGCTCAGTGGTAGAGCACTTGCCTTGCATGCCTGAGGCCCTGGGTTCAATTCCTCAACACCACATAAACAGATAAAAAAAAGCCAGAAGTGGCGCTGTGGCTCAAGTGGTAGAGCGCTAGCCTTGAGCTGAAGAGCTGAGGGATAGTGCCCAGGCCCAGAGTTCAGGTCCCACGACCGGACCCCCCCCCAAAAAAAAAAACAACAAAAAGAATTTGTAGGGAGTGAGCCTTGGGCAGATGGAAAAGAAGCCGATTCTACTACAGAATGAAAGCCTCGAGCTGACTCAGCAAACCCAACCTAACTTGCTACAAGGTTAAACCTGATTATAAGCTGGGTGCCTGTGGCTCACGCCTGTAATCCTAGCTACTCAGGAGGCTGAGATCTGAGGATCATGGTTCAAAGCCAGCCTGGGCAGAAAAGTCCATGAGACTCTGATTGCCAATAAACCACTAGAAAACCGGAAGTGGGCTCTGTGGCTCAAGAGGTAGAGTGCTCGCCTTGAGCTGAAGAGCTCAGAGACAGCACCCAAACCCAGAGTTCAAGCCCCACGACCGACCGAAAAAACCCAAAACAACAAACCTGATTACACTTAACCTTTTCTGATTTAAACCAAAAAATACCAAACAAGCCTTAAAGGGTACTTCAAGTGCCTTTGTACCTTCTTAGTGACACCTGTGTTCTTTTCAGGCTCTTACGCCTTTAACCTCTGAGAGGCTGGATGGGCAAGTTAGTGATCACATGTTCAGCTGAGGAAACCAACACAAGGTTCAGCCAGCCAGCAAATGAGAAGGGCACACATTCCAGTCTGGGACTCTTCCTTTTTCTTGATTCCCTCGTCAAGGGAGCTTTTATCTATTTATTTATTTGGTTATTAATAAACTCATTTTTTTATTTTATACATGAACACAGAGGATCCCACAGAAATCGCCACTTGCATTCCCTAACCCCAATTCAGGGCATCAGTGTTGTTCTGGGTCTGGGTTTCGTCACACCCTTTCTATGTGGTGGTGTGTCCCAGGTTACCGTTTTTTTAAATTGTATTTTTTGACTCAGTTGGAGACATCCTGGTCTGTTGTTTAGGCCTGGAATGAGGCTAGGAAGAGTGGGAGGCAGATAAGTGGTCTCCCGCTCTCTCTCTCTCTCTCTCTCTCAGATCCTGGCAAGCCAAGAGAGCCAGCCGTCTGCACACACACATTTTCTTGGTCTGGCTCTGAATCCCCCACATTCTCAGTCCACCATGTCATGCGTCTGCATCGTGTCTGTTGCACAAGACCGCAACCGCAGCTCTAGGCCTGGAGGGGAAGCTCCTGTCTTTCCTGGGTCACCCCCAGCAGATTCCGTTTTTTTTTTTTTTAAAACCAAGGGTAGCTGGATCTTCTGTGGGGGAATGACAGTGACCTCCAAAGTCATCGCAGAGAAAATACCCAACAAGAGACAGTGCTCTTGGCTGAAGGAATCCAGGGTGCCCCAGGAGCCTTGTGGTTTAGGCAAACAACGCTCTGTGTTCTACCAGCAGCAGAGCCAGTGCCGCTCTTTGAGTGGATAAAGAATCTCTTCTGAGTTTCAATAAAGCGTAGTGGCTTTTCTGATGTTTGTAAGCGGTAAGGGTCCTCACAGGGAAATTCAAGGGTTGGTCTACTATGAAAATGTTGTAGTAAACTCTCCTTAGCTGGAGCATCACCGTGGGGCCTATGCTGAGGAAAGATAATTTCTACAAAAGTGGAGTTCAGCTGCCTTCATCACAGATCTTCCTCTCTGTATAATTTGTTCTTGTTTACATGAATAATATATTCATGCCGGGCACTGGTGTCTCATGCCTGTAATCCTAGCTACTCAGGAGGCTGAGAGCTGAGGATTGCAGTTTAAAGCCAGCCTGGGCAGGAAAGTCTGTGAGATTCTTATAAAACCACTCAGAAAACCCGAAGTGGAGCTGTGGCTCAAGTGGCAGAGCGCTACCCTTGAGCTGAAGAGCTAAGAGACAGCATCCAGGCCCAGAGTCCAAGCCCTATGACTAACAACAACAACAGCAACAATAATATATATGTGTGTGTGTATATATATATATATATATATATATACACACACATATATATATTCATGATTTGAAAGTCAAAGTAATGGTTTACACTACAAAAGCTATTGCGCTTTCTCTGCCCACAGTGACTCCTTCCCTTAGACATAATCATTTATAACTTTTAGGGTCATTTTGGTCAGCCATGGGGCTTGAGCTCAGGGCCTGGGTGCTGTCCCTGAGCTCTTTTGCTCAAGGCAAGCACTCTACAACTTATGAGCCACAGCTCCATGTCTGGTTTTGGTAGTTAATTGGAGATAAGAGTCTCACAGGCTTTCTTCCCCAGGCTGGCTACAAACCTCAATCCTCAGATCTCAGCTTCCTCAGTAGCTAGAATTACAGGTGTGAGCCACCAGCACCCAGTGAACTTTTTTTTTTTTGATTCTAGAACTCCACTGTGTAGCCAAGACTGTCCTGAAACTTACTATAGAACCCAGCCAGCTTCACACTTAGTTCTTCATGAGCCTTCCAAGTGGTAGGATTACATGCGTGTACCACCACATTCAGCTTTTTCAAATCAGAGTTTACATGAGAAGATAAGCAAAACTAAACATTTCTAAATATTTTGTGTTTAAAATTTTTATTCCAAGTGTATTTTTATTCCACAGTGTGTTAAATCATTTGAGCCTTTTATTTTAATTTAGCTATGTATCTTGGAGATGTTCCTTTATACCACTAGATGCCTTTATTTTGTTCTTTTTTTTCCCCCAACAGTACTGGGGTTTGGACACAGGGACTTATACTTGAGCTCTACCACTTGAATTGTGCCTCCAGGCCTGCATGTAACTCAACAAATATTGTCATTTTGTCTTTGGGATCTTTTTTTTTTTTTGTCGTGGGGCTTAAACTCTGGGCCTGGGTGCTGTCCCTTAGCTCTTCAGCTCAAGGCAAGCGCTCTACCACTTGAGCCACAGCTCCACTTCCGGTTTTTTGTTGGTTTATTAGAGATAAGAGTCTCACGGACTTTGCTGCCCGGGCTGGCTTTGATCTGTGATCCTTAGATCTTAGCCTCCTGAGTAGCTAGTATTACAGGCATGAGCCACCGGTGCCTGAAACTTTATTACTTTTTTAAGTAGTTATACAAAGAGTTTCCAACTCAAGTCAGATTATGAAGACCTGAACCTCGAAGCCAGCCTAGCCTATTTAGTGAGACCTAGTCTCAAACGAACAAACAAAATGCAACGTTAAATTGATCGTCTTAGAATAATTTTCAGTGTTCAGTGGTATTTAATACATTCATAATGTATAATTATTACCAGCATGCATCACTATACCTCTCTTCATCTTGCAAGACTGAAATCCTGTGCTTCCAACAAGAATTCTTTGTTTTCTTCTCCCTTTTCAGCCCATGGCGTCCTTTCTGTTCTCACCGCCTCACAGGAGTGGGGTCATACAGACTTTGTCTTTTGGTGAGTGGCTAATTCCTCTTGCCATCATCCCTGCCACGTGCATCCATGCTGGAGCATATGACAGTAGTCCCTCCTTTGCTCAGGGTGAGAGGGCTCTGTGCATGTCTACATCATTTGTTTATCTGTTCATCTGCCAGAGGATGCTCATTGCCCACATTTCAGCTACTGTGCACAGAGCTGGGTTTTTTTTTAGACATAATGCAAGTTTTATTGGGGAGCATGATTAAAGTGGGGGTGAGTGATAGAGCTCAGTGGGTGGAGATCTTCATGAGTGCAGGACTTGCCGCTTATCCAGAGGACCACGATTCGGGATGTATTTGACTCCACAGCCATCAGGGATGAGCCGCTTCTCAGCTACCATGTCTTCAAACTCATCCGCGCTGAACTTGGTAAAGCCCCACTTCTTGGAGATGTGGATCTTCTGACGACCAGGGAACTTGAACTTGGCCCTGCCTAAGGCCTCAATTACATGTTCTTTATTCTGCAGCTTGGTGCGGATGGACGTGATTACCCGGCCAGTGTGAACCCTGGCCACAGTGCCCTGGGGTTTCCCAAAGGCACCCCGCATACCTGTCTGGAGCCTGTCAGCCCCAGCGCAGGACAACATCTTGTTGATGTGAATGACGTGGAAAGGATGCAGTCACACTCGAATATGAAAGCCATCTTTACCTCAACTTTTTACCATACACGTGTTAGGACAAATACGCGCAGCCTCCAGGGCTTCAGAGGAGAGCTGCTCATATGCATCTGACACCTTGAGCCCACAAAGTGGGAACTCATCCACTTCTGCCTTCTTCTGCCCCCAGGTCAAGGATGCGGATCTTAGCATCAGGGACACCCTGACAAAAGCAAGGCTTTGGGTATGGTTTGTTCTTACAATTCCAGTAACACCGGGCAGGGTGGCGACCTATGGCGACACCAGAGTGTTCAGTGGAGCACCAGAGGAAAAGAGCCAATGCTGATTTTTTTTTTTCCAGTCTTGGGGCTTGAACTCCCGGCCTGGGCACTGTCCCTGACCTTCTTTTGCTCAAGGCTAGCACTCTACCACTTGAGTCACAATGCTACTCCCAGTTTTTTCTGTATTGGCACTGAGGAATCGAACCCACGGCTTTATACATGCAAGGCAAGCACTCTGCTACTAAGCCACATTCCCAGCTCCTCCAGCACTGCTTTTTAACTCCTTGGGATGCATATTCAGCCATAGAATTGCTCAGCCACACAGTCATTCATGTTTAATCATTTTAAGGAAACTCCATTCTGTTTTCTTCAATGCCTGTATGTTCTATATGCTCACAAACAATTCCAATTTCTCCACATGCTTGCTCACCTTTGTTATTTCCCATCTGTTGGGGTTCTCTCTTCCTCCTCCTCCTCCTACCTCCCTCCTCCTCCTCCTCTTCTCTCCTCTCATTGCGCCCTTTCTTTTTGTGCCAGTACCTGGGCTTGAACTCAGGACCTCACACCCTCACTTGCCTGTTTTGGTTTAAGGCTGGTGCATTACCCTTGAGCCATACCTCCACTTTCGTAGCCATCCTAATCGGCATGAGATGGTATCTCATTGTAATTTTGATTTGTATTTCTCTAAAAGCTCAAGGTCTCGGGTGCTTTTTTTCTCGTGTCTGTTGGCCATTTGGACATCTTCCTTGGAGAACAAGTCTTCTCACATGTGTGCTTTTTTTTGCCACTCCTGGGGCTTGAACTCAGGGCCTAGGCACTATCCTTGAGCTTCTTTTGATCCAGGCTAGCGCTCTACCACTTGAGCCACAACACTTCTTTCCAGCTGTTCCTGTTTCTGTGGTACCGAGGAATCAAACCCAGGGCTTCATGCATGCTAGGCAAGCACTCTTACCACTGAGCCACCTTCCTAGCTGTGTGCTTGGTTTTGAATGGGGTTGTTTACTTCTGCCATTCACTTTCATCAGCCATCTAAGTTCCCCCTCTGACCTGCTGCACATAGTATCTATCATCTTCCCTGAGACTGAAGGAGCAGAAGACTCGAGCTCTCTTCCTCAGCCTTGCCCATCAGCCTATGATTAGAACCAATAATGGGAAATCTCAGAAGACATATCTCACCTTTGCCAGCAATCCTTCTGCCAGGGGCAGCCCTGAGGAGTAAGCAGGTTCCGGGTACCACCAAGGCATCTGATTTAAGGTGAAGAGTGATAGTCCTGAGAACCGGCCAGCGATCTGACAGCTGCTAACATAACCTCTAACACCTGTGTTAAAATGACTGGTGAACTGGGCTCCGTCTTTCATTTCCTCTTAATACTTGAAAAGCCACAGCTTGGTTTTTGAAAGTTCCCTCAAAAAGGTTCTAAGGGAGGACTCCTCTTCTTCCGCTTGACCGCATTTGGAATCCAGAAGTCAGAACCACCTTGAAATTGAAACCAGGAAAATCCCAGGCCTCCGGGCCAAGAGAAGAAACACATAGGTAAGTCCCCCAAGGTAGTTTAAGTAATTACCTAGTTGTTGACGTGCTTCAGGGTGGCAGGGGCTGATACGATGGCTGGAGGACTAGGGATTAGTCATGATGTTGGGTCATGAGGCTTAGAAATGAGGTAGAGCCTTTCGGTATCCCCCAGAGGTTTGGCTCAGAACTGTCCAACCGAGGGATGTGTTCTTCAGACTTTAATAACCAGCCCTGGGAATGATGCATCACTTGACTGACTAAATGACCGGCCCGGCTGCAAACTGGGCTGCAAACTATCCTGAAGACACTCAGAAGCCCCTGCTCCTTTGGAACAGCCTCAGCTGTGGCCTAAAGGGAAGAAAATGGAGAATGAGAAGCAAATGGCAGGATGAACTGACCTATTCAGCACCCCATCTGTGGTTAGTCCGAGGGGCACATAAGACAAGCCCCTAAGACAATACAGTGAATTGTTCTGGAATGTACTGAGTTCTGAGCTTCAGGAAGGGATGCCTCTCATATGCCTCCAATTATTTATTTATTTATTCATTTATTGCTAGTCCTGGGGCTTGAACTCAGGGCCTGGGCATTGTCCAGCCAACAATAACTCGCCCTCAAATATCAGAAATTTAGAGTGAAATCTTAAAAATAACAAAAAACATATTAAAAAACATATTCATCGTTACACATATAAATATGTACTTCCATCTAAACAAATGCATACAAGCAAAGATCCCATCAGATTTCAGCCTTGGCAGTAACAAGGTATGTCCATGGGTAAAAAGAAAAGACCTTCCTTTCTTGATGCTGGTTTTGTTTTGTTTTTTTTGGGGGGTCCGGTCATGGGGCCTGAACTCTGGGCCTGGGCGCTGTCCCTCAGCTCTTCAGCTCAAGGCTAGCACTCTACCACTTGAGCCACAGCGCCACTTCTGGCTTTTTTCTTTTTGCTTATGTGGTGCTGAGGAATCGAACCCAGGGCCTCATGCATGCAAAGCAAGCACTCTACCACTGAGCCACCTTCCCAGCCCCAGGCCTTTATATTTATTTCCTCAGAATACTACCATAGCTTGCTACTGCCTCTTACTTCGGTCTTGGTCCTTCCTTATCCATTTCCACATCGCACAGTGACGTCACAATCTTACCTAGAATTCTTCTGTGGCTGCCCATAGCTTCATGATCAATGTCAAATTGCTCTTTTCAGATCAGATTCCTTTGTAGTCCTTCCGGTCTGTGAGCTCATTGATCAGTTAACTTGCTCCCCCTTGGTGGAGGGATACTCTGGGCCAGGCATCACTGTAAGGTCTGGGGATATAACAAGATGGCTGCCAGCCCTTACAGCAAAGTGGAGAAGCAGCTGAAGAAATGCTGTAGTAAACATTGCCATGGTGAGCTCTGCATTCCGTGACTCAAGGTGGGGTCTAGAGACAAAACTCCCCAGGCCACCTGAGAGCATATCTTAGGGCCCTGAACCAGACCTGCTAAATCTGCTCCCGAACTTTCACTAGATGCCTAGGACTGGAGTCTGTGTGTGAGGGCCTGGTCTGGGAGCCGCCCTAGTTGATGGGCGTGGTTGGATCCCCAGTGGTCATGAGGCAGGGGAGAGGGAGCCTCATAAAGGTGAGGTAGGAAGAGGTTCTGCCCATGGAGGGACTGGCAAAGTGCTGGGGCAAAGAGATAAAAAAGAACATGGAGCGGAACACCGGTGGCTCAAGCTGGTAATCCTAGCTACTCAGGAGGCTGAGATCTAACAATCATGATTCAAAGCCAGCCCGGGCAGGAAAGTCTGTGAGACTCTTATCTCCAGTGAACCACCAGAAAACCGGATATGGCACTGTGGCCCAACTGGTAGAGCGCTTGCCTTGAGCTGAAGAGCTGAGGGACAGCATCCAGGCCCAGAGTTCAGGCCCCATGACCAACACACACACATAAAAAAAAAGGGGTGGGGGGAGAGAGAACATGGGAGATGTTGCCCTATATTGGGGAACAAAGGCTGCAGATGGTGGCCTTACTTATCTCAGCAATACCAATTGGTCCAGTGCAATAGCCCTGTCTCTTTCTAATCTCATCCTGAAACATTGGGATGAAGAATTCGAGCCCGTGCCATGGCCTGCTATTGTCTCCTTCAGTCTTGGTCTTTTCCTCTGCTGTTTGTCGGCAAGCAGAATAAAGGTGACCAAGGGCAAGAGGAGGGGAGGTGGAGAGTTACCGTCTGGATAAGAGCTTCTGTGTGGTATGATGAGAAAGTTCTGAACGTGAGCCAGGCGAAGCCAGCCCAGGAAGGAAAGTCTGTGAGACCCTTTATCTCCAATTAACCATCCAAACAACACACACACACACACACACACACACACACACACACACACACACTCACTCACTTCTGAAAATCAATAGTAATGATGGCTGCATAGCATTTGAAGGCCATTGAATGGTGAAAATGGTATATTTTGTTACATACATTTTACCATCTTTTTTTTTCCCCCCTAAAGTTTTGAGATCTTTAAAGTCAAAGAAGAACTGATTTTTTTCAGGTTGCCGTTTGCCCACTTCCTTGCCCCAAATAACTCAGGTAACCTTCCTGCAGCCGCACTGTGCTCATCTGTACAATGGGTCCAGGGATGTCACTTGTCTCAAAGACAAATCCTGAGGATTCATTGAGGCAGTGCTGGGAAAGCATCTGGGAGCTCGGCGGGTGATCCCTGAGCTCAGTAAAGTCCTGAAAAGAAAATGAAGAACACAAGCTCTTTCTCCACCCTCTGCCGAGCTGCCTTTCCGTTTTGTTTGTGGTCTGTGCTGTCCTTTCCACTTCCAAACAATTTCTCAAGACCCACAACTATTGAAGTTGTCTTGAAAACATTTGCTAATAGCCTTTGTTACGCCAATGAAACTCTAGTAATTCTTTTTTTTTTTTGGTTGGTCGTGGGGCTTGAACTCTGGGCGTGGGCACTGTCCCTCAGCTCTTCAGCTCAAGGCTAGTGCTCTACCACTTGAACCACAGCGCCACTTCTGGCTTTCTGGTGGTTAATTAGAGATAAGAATCTCACGGACTTTCCTGCCTGGGCTGGCTTTGAACCATGATCCTCAGATCTCAGTCTCCTGAGTAACTAGGATTATAGGTGTGAGCCACTGGTGCCCAGTAGTAATTCTCTTCTTAAGACACAGTTGCTCATTTCTCAAAATGCACCACTTTGAATTCAGAACCATTGGGTTTTCCTCTTTGCTTACCTTCTTCCTCCTCTTATAAGTTAAGGGCTTCCATAACCATTTCATTGG